CTCTTAGCATTCTCGCAAGCTATGTTTCTCCTAGGAGACACAGACCGGAGCACATGGCTGCAGCAAAGAGGGTGTTGCGCTACCTGTGTAGTACGTCGGGCATGGGGCTTGTGCTTGGAGGGCGGAGTCCAGTGGTCCTCACTGGGCACGCGGACGCTTCTTGGGCGGACAACCAGGCTACGCAGCGGTCGTCACAGGGTTACACCTTCAGCCTTGGTTCCGGCTCTGTTTCGTGGCGGGCTACCCGCTCGTCTTCTGTTCTCGGCTCCAATTGTGAGGCTGAGATCTACGCCGGAGCCATGGCTGCACAGGAGCTTTGCTGGCTCACCTACCTGCTGACTGACTTTGGAGAGCCGCCTCGTTCTCCTCCAGTGTTCTACGTAGACAACAAGGCCATGCTGGCCTTATGTCGAGAGCAGAGACTGGAGCACAGAACGAGGCACATTGCTCTTCGCTACTTCCTTGCTCGTGAGCTACAGCAGCGTGGCCAGTTGCGGCTTGCGTACGTGGCCTCTGAGGCCAACACTGCTGATGTCTTCACCAAGGCACTTGCGCCTTGTGATCATCAGCGCTTCTGCACGCAGCTAGGTCTTGTACTTGTCTTGTCTCACTTGCTCACCTCTTGGCCTTGCTTGTACTGTTGCATTTATATACACCTGCTTTTGCTTGTCTAGTCTTTTATATATATGTACCCCTGCATGTGAACTGGCCTTGTGGCCTTGAATTTGTGCTCGGAATGTGTGGTGACTTTGTGATCCACCCTGAGCTTGCTTTGCTTTGCTTTGCTTGACTGGTCTTGTGACCGCTTGTTCTCTTCCACTTTGCCTATGGGGGTGTGTCAGAACATTTTAGCTTATGCTTTTGTGTAGGGTGTAGTGGGGTAGACCATATGGGGTACAACCCAATTAGGGTTAGTACTTGTACCCAACTGTTTCATACTTCATTCATTCTCGTTTCAATTCTCACAAGCGGCTCCTATGTGCTAAGGTACGCGAGTCCCTTCGAGTGAAAAAACAAAAGTTGATTTCCTAGGGTGCGGAGATGCGCGATCCGAAAGAAAGGGGCTCTGAATACCAAGTGTTACGGGTGCAATGAATCGAAGTAGCGAGAATTGCACTAAGGTGTCAAATGAGTACAAAGATGTGAGCAAAGGCATGAGCGAACATTTATACGCGAAACATGCAAACGGTAACGTGGTGCGTGCGAGCTAGCTAGTGCTATGCTTGCAGCAAGGCTCGGGCTAGTCCCGAAGCGTAGGCCGACACGGCCGGGCCAGTAGTGCGAGGTTTGGCAAAATAGTGCGCACGAAGTTGGCGAAGTCCCGTTAGCAGTAACGGGCGAACATCGGCTGTTGCTGTACGCGATGTAGTCGGGCTCCGTAAGGAATGCTGAGAAAATTCCTTACATTGAACGAGCCCAGCTTTCTCGAAATGCGCAATGTTCGTTTGTCCCCCCGTGTTTCTGGCTGGCCTCCCGGGCACATTAGGGCGTGTGTCTTTTGGAGTGTATTGTAAAGTTCATTTTTTTGTACAATGCATTTGAGCCTTGGTCGCCCTCTAGTCGTGTAAGGATTTACGAATCCTTACTGGGGCACTCGTTAGCGAGGCCATCCCGAGGGTCATGCGATGAACCTGTCCTTCCTATTTCGCCGCACCGAACCACTCCCGAGTCGCCTCCGCACCAATTGCAACCATCACCGAGCCATCCTCGCCCAACCTCTCCGCCTAGCTAGGACTTCCCCTATTTAGTTGTGCCTTTCTCATTGTATCATCATTCAGTACTCAGTCATTCTCGTTATTCGTTTTACTGCGCACTCTGCAAGTTCATTCATAACACCTGGTATCAGAGCTACCTTCCTAGCCTTCCTTGCTTTTTAGAGTGTAATACCTCTGGGGGGGGGGGGGGGACGAGGAATGATGTCTTGGGATCCAGGAGTTGCGTAGTCCGGCCAGGAGAACTAGTTAGTTGCTCCTCGCGGCTATGTTTTAATGGGTACTCCTTCGGCACCGCCAGGTCCTTGCCTCGAACAGTCGCGATCGACCATGGCCTCCCCCCACCACGGGCAACGGGCAGCTGTAGCTGTCGTGACGTTAATGTGAGTAAATTTCCGCTGCGATTTACCGACGATTTTGGAAGTTTTGTGTGGCAGCTGGCGTCAGCGGACCTGCGTCAGCACCTGCACGAAATTCGCGGAGTCGTCAACGTGTGTGGCAGTTGACGCCGTCGGACGTGGGTCAACAGCTGCGTGACAATTTCGGAGTTCGTTTGATGCGGCAATTTACGACGGTTGCTCGTCTTCATTTTGCGCGCATGACTCGCGGAATGTGTTTCAGCAGCTGGCTACAACGGACGTGCGTCACTGTGGGTGACAATTTCGAAGCAACTGTGGAGAAAAAGTCAGTTGGGGAGCTCGCCAGGCGCAAATGGAGTTATGCGTCCGAAAATATCGGTGGACGAGGAGAAACGACATGCGAATTGCCCGAATTGTGCGAGGTCAACTGTCGTCCCGCCTGACCTGAAGTGTAGCAGCTTTTACTGCAAGGCGGGCGCGTCATCGAGTATTTCGGCATGAGTACACGTGGACAGACGGGAACTTTAGACCCGCCGACACTTACGGGTTGCAACAGAAAACGGAGTGGCTAAATCACACTCAGGAGGAGTGGGACGCAGGCGGCGAGGGCAATTTGGGCCCATACACCCCGAAGAACACTCGGATGACGCTGCGTGCCTTGTACCGTTGACTGCTGGCCGGCAATTTCAAGAGTGGATTTCCTGTAAGGAAGTCATTTTCGGGAACAGCCTTAACAGCCCACGATTTAATCGGTGTTCAAGGTACCACGCCGACAGTTACGGAGGAGAGTGGTACAGGCCGCCGAGACACACAAGAAGAAACCACCCGACGGCTAAGCGGGGGTTGAAGAATGGCGTGAAGGGCAGGTTAAAAGCCGGTGTGAACGATCTGTGACCTTCCGTCGCCCGAACCTCACCATCCCCACCAAGTTTTAGTTCTGACTCATGCAGTCAACATTACTTCGCCGAATATCAGGGGTGACACGGGCCTACCCTGCGCTGGTTAAAGGCAACTGGGTTGGTGCTCGTTCAACAGCTGAAGATCCCAGCGGAATTCGGTCGATGGACCCGAATTGCCAGGGTCGACGAGGGGGGTCGACGGACAGGGGTCTGATGAGGCGGGCAAGTGACGCGCGTGCGGGCCCGCCAGCCTGGCCCAGGGCTGGGCCGGGCGCACGACCGCCGCCCCGCAACCCCCCCCCCCCCCCCCCCGAGAGTGAACAGCGACCCACGTTACCGGGTGGGGGCGGCGAGCTGGCGAGACCTCGGGCGAGGGAAATTAACCCTGCCGCAAAGGCAGCCCACCCCTCCCTCGTGCCCGCGAGGTCCTAGTAACCCATCGCGGCCTGCCCGTACGGGCAGGCGAGGTCCACGCGAAAATCGGGGGCTCCCCTCGGGTCGCTCGACTATTTCGCGACCCGTTGCGGTGACGCCACGTGGTCGCCCGTCATTTCGCATCGCATGCATGCGACATTTCGTACCAGCCGAAATTCGAGCGAAAATTGTTCGCCCCAGGGCGCACGGTTTTCGCGACCCGCTGCGAAATCGACACGTGGTGCCGAAACGTCGCACCGCGCGCATGCGAAGTTGCGTCCCCTGGCCAACCGAGGCCAAGGGACGTGACGTCGACCTGTTGGCTCGGCGGCGAGGGTGCACTTGTGCCACGCCACTTGTGCATGAGCCCTGCCGAGCTAGGCATCACGGCCCCCTGGGCGACGCTCAACCGGGCCTGCGTGGCTCCGCCTGGCTTTTCTTCGTTGGAGGTGGACTGGCCCCTCATTTTCGCGTTCTCGTTTCTCTTTCATTTTTCCACCCAGCTCAGCGCCTTCCATACTCCCACTGTTTCTTCCCTTAGCCTCTAGCATAGCACCCTCGCTCTCCTGCCATGGCGGCCGGCCAGAAAGCCGCTGAAGCGGCGCCGACCTCGCTAGATTTCCCCCTGCATCTAGACATCGGTAGAGGACACACGGCCAAGTTCGAAGAGCACGACTACGCCGTTCTGACAAACCCTATGCTAGAGTTTAACGCCCGTTGCTTGGGTCTCGGTCTCAAGTGAGTGTCTTATGGAGATGTCATCGTCGGCGGGCCTATTCCATGCTGGTCGGCCCTAGCGGGGTTTCAATTCGTCCAGTTGTTTATGTCGACGGGCTTAGAGTTCAGGTAGATCACATCGGTGACGCCGACGTAATGCGTTAGGTCGTCGTCGACGCTGAGTTGTGCCGAAATCATTCGGCTCCCGTCATTCCACCGTCGTGCCGCGCACCTATACCTCTCTAACTTGTTGTAACCATGCATGCGTGCAGGCACGCATGGATCCGCTCAACGGATGCAGGCGAGCGATTGTGGTCGATAGGAGTCTGCCGGCTTCGGGCGGCGATGGGTCAGGACGACCACACATGCTTTGCGACGGGTTTTGACGCCGACGTGGTGGTTATCCCGCTTATATCGAGGTGAGCAGGTTCGAGGTCCTGTTGTGTGCTGCAACCTGTGTCGGTGATTTGTTCTGAGCGCCATCGACGTGCCTTGTCTGTGCAGCATCGCACCGCTTCCGGGAGCACATTGCAGCACCGTTCTCATCCTGTGCCCCGGCGATTTGTTCAATGCCTCGGGGCAGGAGGTCAGGACCTCGATCCGGCACGCCGACCCGCAGACAGTGAAGGAGTGGCACCGCGACGAGGCGATCCGCGTGCTGAAGTGAGCTCGATAGTTTAGTCGACATCGCATGCATTGTCGACACGGAGCGTGCACCGTGCTAACCGACCATCCTTGCCGTGCTTTTGCAGGTTTTTCCAGACCGCTGTTCTGGCCGAGCTGCGGCGCGAGGGTAGGAAATGGGAGTGGGCGAAGCCGTCCGAAGACGAGGTGCAGGCGAGGCTCGCCGACTGCGACGAACCCCTTTGAGATGTGAGTTCCGGACGATTCACCGTCATATGGTGTCAGATCTACGCCGCCCTAATCCTTGCGCTCTGCATTGTTGTATGCAGAAAGTTCCCGATACCGTTCGGGACTCGGACGTGGGCTCCGGCCTGCTAGCAATGAGCGCGTTGATCTGGGTTGTGAGGCGGTTCCATCTCCTCACCGGTGACCTCTGTCGCATTGCCACCAGCATGGACAAGCCCACCGTCTCGGGGTTGAAGGCGCTGCGGAACGAGATGGTAGCCCTCATCAAGAAGCAAGTCCCGCTCATACGGTCGGGGAAAATCGTTGTTGCTGCCGACGCCTGTGACGACGACGACGAGGAAGTCCATTCTGCATCCGTAGCAGTAGGGGTCGCCCCGAACGTCGCTGATGAGCGTGGCAAGTCGGGAGTCGGCGTCGACGAGGCTGATGCGGCCGCAGGAAAGGGGGTGACCGGGACTGAGGTTGTTCACGGGGATGATGATGGGGTCCAGGATCGCGAGGAGGAACGTGAGGGTGAGGGGGGCTCTGAGGAGTCGTCGTGGTCGAGGTCGGGGTCGGGGTCGGGGTCGGGGTCGGGGTCGGGGTCGGAGTCGGAGTCGGAGGAGGAGCAGGAGCAAGAGCAGGAGACGCAGGAGCAAGAGAGGCAGCACCAGGAGGAGCAGCTGGTAGAGGTGGAGGACGTGGAAATGGCGGAGGGGTACGTTGTTGGAGGAGCGGAGGAAACGGGTGGGAGATCGGCGGATGTCGAGAACGACGAAGGGGAGGGGAAGGGTGCGACAGCGGATCTCGGCGAGGTCGGCGTGGAGGCGGCTCACGGAGATGGTGGCATGGTCGAGGTCGGTGAAGGGGATAACGCCGCGGTCCCGAAGCAGAGGGACGTGGATGTGCATACCGATGCCACCGCGGAGAAGGCCGGGGGGGAGCGGTCTAGGAGGAAGAAGGCGGCGAGCGGTCATCCCGGTTCCACCGCGACTGGGCGGCAGGCGCGGCTGGACGTCGTCCATCAGCTGAGAGCGGAGAACAGGCGATTGCGTGCAGACAATGCACGCCTTGAACGGCGGCTCGGTGAGCAGACGGGGCGTGTCGACAGCTTGGCGGCGGCTTTAGCTGGGCTCCTCGAGAAGGTGAAGGGTTTGACCGCCCAGGTCGCCGACACCGACCGGAAATCGGAGGAGCGCCTCAAAGAGGCCACGTCGACCATGGCGACCACAATCACCGAGGGCCTGACCGACAACATGGACAGCGCAATTCAATCGCCCAAGTCCTTCGCCGAGCTAGCGAGGCAGATGCTGCTGGATCTTGACGACCCCAAGGGACGAGCGGCGGTCGCACGCGCGACCGCGGTGAAGACATTGACCGAGCACGTTTCGGCTGAGGTGGGCGAGGCGAGGAAGGGATTGGAGGAGTCGTTCATAAAATACATCGGCGCCGCGCAGACCAACATTGCCGCCGCCGTCTCGCCCCGCCTAGTCCAGCCGTCGCCGCCGACCGCCCCAGCGCAGGCCTTGCCGGAAGATTTCCTGAAGTCTTTCAAGGAGGACGTGCTGAAGGCGGTGACGGAGACCACGCAGCAGTTCTTTGTCGCCTCCGGACTGAAGATAATGACCGAGGTCGTCGGCACGGTGGCGACTCCTCGGCGTGGGTCGTCGCCGTCGGCAAACGACGCCGGCCAAGCGCAACCTACGGAGGGCTTCAAGCTGGGTCACAAGAGGGGGGGAGGCGGCGGGGGGGGCGACGGGGACAATTCGGCGAACACGAAGCGGAGCAAGGGAGGCGGGGGGTCTCGCGTCGCCGGCGACGGGAGCAAGGGGGGCGGAGAAGGAGGCGGCGGGGGGAGGGGGGGACGGAGACGATTCGGCGGGCGCGAGTCGGACCAAGGGAGCGATTGGTTCTCGCGTCGCCGGCGATGGGAGCATGGGAGCCGGCGACGGCAGTTCGAGGAAGCAGTCGGGGAAGAGCGTGGTCGACATCCTCAGGAAGCACTGGGCTCAGGTTGGAGCGGCCAGCACGGGCCATGGTGGTGGGGGTCCCGCCGACGAGCATGCCACTGGTGACGCACTGCCAATGGCTCCGCCTTCGGTCGGCGTTAAGCCACCACGACAGGGTAGCGGTGAGAAAGGGCTGCGCGACAAGGAGAAGGCCGCCGCCAAAACGGCCCTAGGCGGGTCCGGGAAAGCTGACCAGGGCCCAAAGACAGGGGTTGCGGAGGCGTCAGCGGTTCCTCACCAGTCTCCCGCGGGTGCACGCCATCCGACCGGACCGTCTGCGGGGCGACCTGCCGACGTCCCGCGCCATGCCGACGTACCGTCTGCCGACAAGGTTGGCCGCGCGGGAAAAGGGGCGGCAGTTGCGGACGCGCTCAAGGAGCAGCTCAGGCTCCTAGCCGGCCATAGGCTGTTCAACAGCCCCCCCCTGCTGTCGACGTCCCATCGGCCAGTGTGCCACGTGTAGTGCCGGTCGTCGCCGCCCGTACTCCTGCAGACCCAAAGTCCGAGTTGCTGCGCGCCCAGCTGAGCGCACTAGCGTCGACTTCGAGGACTCAGCAGGCTTCTGGCTCTGGCGCTAAGCCGTCGTCGGCGAATGTCGCACCACCCACCCATGTGGCAGCTGATGTGGAGAAGGCGGCGGAGAAGGGCGTTCGTGCCGCGCTTGCCACCGGCGGCGGCACCGTTGAGGAGGTCCCCGCAGACGCTGATATCGCTGCCATACAAGCCCATCTAGATGTAGCCAATCCCCGAACCCTGGCCATCTCCGACACGGCACATGTGGAGCCTTTGGCGGGACTCGTCGGCATTGCGGCAGAGCCTAGTGTAACCGGTGATGCGGTCGGTGAAGGAAAGTCGAAACGGAAGGGGAAGGCGGGCTCACAGAGGAAGACGCGGGAGAAGTCGGATGTGAAGGCGGCGGATAAACAGAAGGGGATGGCGGCGGAGACGGCGGCGGAAAAAGATGGAGGCGGCATTGCGGAGGTTGAAGGGAAAGGGGAGAATCAGGAGAAGTCGCCCGGCGAGGGTACGTCGAGGGGGAGGAAGGGGAAGGACAAGTCGGTCGGAGAAGGTGGGTCGACCGGGAGAAAGGGGAAGGAGAAGGCGGTCGGCGAGGGTTCCTCGAAGGGGAGAAAGGGAAAGAGGAAGGCGGAGGAGGAGGAGGATGAGGATATTGAGGAGGTGGAGCAGGTCGAGCAAGAGGAAGAAGAGGAGGAGGAGGAGGAGGAGGAGGAGGAGGAGGAGGAGGAGGAGGAGGAGGAGGAGGAGGGGAAGGGCAAGGAGAGGAGGGGTCATGGCATCCGACACGATACCTCGGGCGACAAGCAAGGGTGGGTGGGCAAGATTAAGGTGCACGGCATCAATCGATACATCGGCAAGTTGCGGGACAAGATGGAGCTCGCGTACGTTCACTCCATCGCGTACGTCATCTACGACGGTTTCGTGAGCAAGGTGCTCATGACCGAGCTCACCGGCCTGGACAGCGCCGAATTGGAGAGGTGGAAGGAGGTGTGGGAAGAGGTCAAGATCTTGCCGACAGGGATGTGGACGGTGATGTGGGCCCGGGGTACGCTCCTTCCAAAGACACGGTAAGTCGGCAATCCTCCGATCCAAAGTCGATGTCGTTGTCGTTGTCACTAATGTCCGCCCTGTTTGTGGTGGCGTGATAGGCTGACTAAGATCCTCGACGCGTATCGCCATTACAAGTCCACAGGTGATGGTCTCCACGCCGCGCTCATGCCAGCGATATGGTACCCAGTCGATGCTAGCACCGAGGAAGGCCGGGAGAAGTCGGCGTCCATGCTGTCGGCGATGATAGGCCGGGTGTCAATGTGCGCTGCGTATGGGAAGACCGCTGCGGCAGCGGCGAAGAAGGAGGGAGACAAGGAGGAGAGGACGGATATGGCGGCATGGGCATTAGCAGCATCCGCATGCGCTGTGTGGTGCTTCGTCGAGAACGGCGATGCCCAGCTGGCGGATGCTGTGGAAGAAGGGAAGTCGGCGGCGATCATCGGCGGAGCGAGCCAGGCGACCGCCAATGTATTCGGAAAAGTCATGGAGGCGGTGCTGAACGCCGAGATGAATAGGGACCGCCCCCTGGGAGAGGTTGCTTACAACGTCGCGCCAACACTCCAGAGGACCGCCCTAGATAGGGTCTATCCGGGGGGGAATGCTGGAGTAGATGCCGACGTTATCGCTAGAGCGACGGTTGAAACGATGGCGTTTTGGGGAATGTGCCCCGTCGCTGGGCCGGAACTAAGAGCGAGGGACATCGCGGTGCTGATTGACGTGCAGATGAAGGCCGATCTTGACAACAGGGGGAGGAAGGGTCTGAGGGGCAAGAAGGGGACGAAGGCCAAGGGCGGCACGGGGAAGAAGGGCAAGAAGGTGAAGAAGGACAGCACGACGGCCTAGTCGACGGCTTGCTAAGATTGAGTGCTGCGTGGACTCGGTGCTGCTATGGTCGATACCGTTTTGTTTGTTTCGGCTGTTGGATCCATTTGATGCTCGTTGTTTGTGTTTCTTCGTGTGCGTGTCTGTCTACTTTACGTAGGATGAGTAATGAACACATTAGCTGGTAATGATTGTCTACTTTAGTTAGAATGACACGTGAATGCGCCGCTAGGCCAAGAACAACAGGATCATTGCGAAAAACAAAAAGTCGACATCAGTATCAGTATGAAACATAGGCATGCTGCATCAACATCTACAACATGCAACAGCCCACAGTAGTAGGAGGCGTAGGAACATTCACGCGGTGTTCTTGCGCTTGGTCGACTTATTGGTCGGAGGCAGCTGCCCGGCGTCGTTTTTGCGGGCCTGGTCGGCCAACGTCTTCTTCATCTGCTCAACTCAGGTGTCCGGGAACAGGTCAGCGACCCACAATTCAGGCTTGAACCCGCGCGCCACGAACGCACAGGTGACACGAAGCTTGGAGACTTCCGTCTTGCCGAGCCCTTTGACGCCCTTACCCTGCCCGGCATAGGTCGCTACGGCGTCCGCGTTGAGCACCGTGAGGGCATCCGCGAAGGTCCCAATGCCAGGCGCCGCTATCTTATTAAGCGTGTCGACGGTGGCTTCCGTGTCGGCTTTGCCGTCACTCCTGCGAAGTTGGCGCACCGCATCGATGACCTTCATCATGCAGCGCACCCTCTTCCCGTGTGCTCCCTGCGAGGCTCCGTCGAGGAGGGTGTGGCGGTCGACGAATCCCGGCTCCCTGAACTTGTCGCACAGACGACGGGTGTCGGCGCTGGTGCACGAGGTCCAGAGGCGCCACGCGTCCTTGACGGTCATTGCAGTCCGCCAAGGCTGCACTACGTTCAGCTCGTAGCTAGCCTCCTCGACCGTCTGTGGGGGTTTATTGGGTTTGTTGGCTCCTTCACCCCTGCTTTCCGGCTCCGCGGAGCCACCGCCGTTCGGCGACTGGTCGTTCGCAGCTGGCGGCGCCTCCGGCATCCTTCGAGCTTCTGAAACGCGGAGAGCCTCGGTGAGGCGGGTTATCTCGGCCGCGAGCGACGCGATGGTTGCGTCGCGATTCTCGATCCTCTCCTCGAGGTCGAGCTTCTGGACCGTTGACCGCTCCCTCTCGAGCTTAAGCGTCTCCGTGAGGGAGACGACCGCGTACTGGGCGTCATGGCGGACCGATATCTCCTGCAATGGTAGGCGAATAACGGTGCAGATGAGGGGTTGTAGCGGTCATAGAGCACATCGCGACGTGGATGAGCTACCTCTGGCTGGATGAGGGTTGGATCTTGCCGCTTTTTTATGGTGTCGGTGTCGGTCTTCTCAACCCTCTTCGCCCACTGCTGGAAGAGGGGAATCCGACAAAGCCTGGAATACTGGACGTACGGATGCCAAGGGGTGCGGACGAGTTTTACCGCGAGGTCCTCGGCGACAATGCGGCGGAACATCACAAGGGTGCGCCAGAAATGCACGGCCGCAATGTCGGCGTTGGACCCCTTCTTCGCGAGTTCTTCTGCCTGCAGTTAGACATCAGACGTGGGTTATTGCCGTGGTGGATAGGACAGTACCATGCAAGGCTGGTCGGCACCGATAAACATACCTTCTTGAGGAGGTCGTCGACGCCGGGGAAGATGTGCTCGGCGATGAGAGCGAGGAGTTCGTCTCCCGGTTCCACCCTGCTGCGGCCCAAGAAGTAGTCCTGCGTGAATCCCGAATAGCCAGCCTTCTTCATCACCACGTCGACGGGAATGGATGTGATGTAGGCTCGAGTCATCTTGTCGAGAGCCCAGTGACCCAGCTCGGCTATCTCGGTGCGAGGTGTACCGTGGACGGCCAGCTCCTGCGCCCCACCTGCCCGAGTGGCATGGACGTTCCGCTTGCAGAACACCCCGTTCGTCTTCCACATCTGCCTCGTCCATCGCTGGTGGCTGGGAGCTGAGAGTTCGCCCTGCTCGGGGTCGTTGCGGGCGAAGAACAGGTGCTTCTTGTACCAGAGCTTGCGTGTGCTGGTGTCGACCGGCGGAATGAGGTCGACGCCATGAAACTGGCCGATCTGGTCGAGGACGAAGTGTAACCACAGCCCGGTCTCGCCGACGGCGCACAACTCCGCTTCGAGGTGCCTCGCCGCGTAGCTCTGTTGAAGGCGCGCATCCTTCGACGTCTTCGAGTTACGCGCGGCGACCACCATGACGACCGGCTGGTTATCCAGGTTCACCGACGAGGTGCTCGCCACTCGGTACAGGAAGATGTCGGGGAGCGTTATCTCGCGGATGCTTGCACCGCACATGAGGCTGTGGTGGGAGAGCAGCGTGAGCACCTTGACGAGAAGAAACCTCCACAGCGTCTGCGAAGGTGTGGTGAAATGCGGGCTCCATGCTGACGCCCCCAAGCCGGCAGCACCCTCGTCATGATCTGGCGGAACTGTTCGGCGGTGTATGTGTCGCCGATGGTGCCGCGTCGACGGTCGACGCAATTACTGTCGATATAACAATATAGGGACCTGAATATTAGGGCGAGGAACACAATGGCGACATAACACGGCGATGCATGCCAACTTACTTGATGTCCCTCTGATTTTTGGTGCGGACCATGACCCGCACCTCCGACCGGACCACCGAGATTTCCCGCATGATGCCCAACTCCCTCTCCTTGTAAAGCGTCGCCTCCACCCTCGCCGCCATCTGGCAGGCCTTGATGCGGCCGAGGATCATGTGCACCGTGTAGGCTTGCACTGGCGCGTTCGTTTCGGCGTCGATCTTGTACTCCCGCCTCATGAACTTGATGTAGGCGCGCAGCCGCGTACTAGTGACCCGAGGGCCGTGCAGCCATATGTGCTTCCGCTTGACCACCTTCTCGTTGTCCCAATCCTTGCTCTTGTTGTTGTGTGTCCAGTGCCCTATCTCGTCGACATGCCTCGTTTGTTCTGCTGTCGGCAGTTTGTCGCCTATTTTTTTAAGCATCTTCGCCGCCCACCTTTTGTAGTCGTATATCCATGAGGTGTAGGACTTGAGCGTGCTCTTGGCCTCTATGGTTTTCAGGTGGCGCATTGCCTCCATCACTAGCACGTCGACGTACGCGTACACCATATCTTCCTCTACGAAGTCGGCCGCCTTCCACATTTCTCGAGGGACCGACGTGTGCAGCAGATCCTCAAGCTCGTCCTCGTCCAGAAATTCCTCTATGAACGCACGTTCCCCCCTGAGTTTTTCTTCCAACGTGCGCGGACCAGTGCCTCGTCGGGGCCGCGGGTCGTCTTCGTCGTCCTCGTCGCTCGCCGATGAATAATCTTCCTCATCCTGGTCGCCCGATCCGTCCGGCACATGCGACGGCCCGGCCTCCCCTGCATCCGTCGGCGTCGACGTTTTGCGTGGTTTCGTGAACTCCCCTATGGGCGCGGGCGGAACGTCCTTGGTGAAATCTCCCTGCGGGATTTGGGCCAGGGCGTCGAGATCGTAAAGCAGCGGCAAATTCGACGAGGGGTTACTGGTCGGTGTACGGTCTACCGGGCGGACATCCTCACCCTGGCTAGCGGGGTTCGGAACGTCCGTCATGTCGACATCGGCGGGCGGTGGGTTGGTTTGCGGCGGTGTCGATCGAGGCTGTCCTCTGGCCATGATACGGCGACCTAGGGTCTGGCGATGGGAAGTCGGCGTGGTGAGGTCGATAAACTACTACTTGCGTAATCTACGTCGGCGGTATCAGGCAGATTGGCACAGCAGACAATCTTACGAGACGTCGGCGACCACGTCTGGCTACTCTGACGACGCTGACATTACGCGTCCAGGAAAAATCTATGTGCCAACCGTCAAGTCAATGGTAAAAAAAAAGCTAAGTGCCAGCTTACGGATGGAACGCACACAGAATGGCATGCAGAATGAGCGACCATTACAGGGACCACGGATGGGTATGGTCATGAGCGACTCCGCACCACTTGGCGCTCCACGCAAACCCCAGTGCAGGACGCCGCCATGCATGTACGCTCGTGCTGCGGCGCCGTGTCCGACGTGCGACCAGGCGTGCATGGCTGCTTGCTTCACGCTCTTCGCTCATCGTGCTCTTTTCGTGGCTGCTACACGGTGGCTCTTTCGTGCGGCACGTGGCGTGGTCCCGAATTAGGTGCAGCGCGGTAGCTCGAGGGCGGGAGACACTGCCGAGTGGCACCACGCTGATGCTCTTCTGGTCGACGCCGACATTCCCGCAGCCTCAGTGTCCACTGCACTTAGCCATAGATAGTGGACGGCCGGATTTCGCCTTGCGCATATGGGCAACCGTTGGATGAATGCCGTGTGGTATGCACCGACCTTGCCACGTTCCCGCGCGAAAATCTCCCACGCGAAGCACCCCGACCTTCCGTTGGCCCGTCGTGTCCAACCTGGCAGACCTCGGTGGCCCCGCCATCCAGGGGACTATCTCGGGCGTCCCTTTGTGACCGCGTCGCGATCATCGCAGCCCGACTTGCCCGTCTGGGATTCTGACACGCGGCTGAGACGTCCTTCTCGGGATTGTCTCAGCGGAACCCTAGGTCAACAGGTGGTCGACCATCCCGAGGGCTCACCAGCACCTGGCCCAGCCAGATAGCCTGGGCTTTCCACGCGGAGGTTGTCGTGGGGTCGTCGACCCCGAGGAGGGGGGTTGTCCGTTCTGAACTGCGAAACTGGGCGGCAATTTTCGTCGGCTGAGCTATACTATGCTGTACAGAAAAAACAAAAAAAAGTGGAGTTGCGGCACTGTTCTACTCCGACAAAAGCGGACTGGGTGAAACAGCACGCGAAAAAGTCGTGGCGCCGCATGACAACAATGGTGCAATTCGCTGGTTTCTCCTGACCCGGGCGTCTACACGAGGAGACTGCGCAGCGGCGGAGCTGGAACAGGGAGCTGTGGAGCTTTAGTGGCGCGACGGCACGGTGGGCTGCAAAGCGGTTGGGAATGATTTCCTTTTAACTAAGGTCCCCGACTCTTATAGACTTTCTTCTCCACCGTGGCTGGGTTCGTGCGGGCAACACCGACTATACCTCATCCGAAAAATGCGGACGCTGGGTGAACAGCGGGAAGCGGAATTGTCGGAGGGTGAAACGACCAAAAAATATGGATGAAGCTGCGGGTATTTCTTCGCTTCTTGGAGTGCGGTTGAGTCGTTGGGGGACCTCGCCTGAAGGGCACTTTTCGAAGTCGCCTGGCAAGAAACACAGCGGCAAGGATACCTAGGACCCCCGGTGTTTAAACGCACACCTCGGGACATTCTTCAAAAAAGGGGAGCGTGGGAGCAGTCGTAGCTTCGGGAACTTATCGACCGGCGACGAGCGATGCGGTGAAACATCTACAAAGCGCTGGTGGGAGAAACAAGGTATTTTGTTAAGCAGCATCGGCGGGAGCAGTTTTCGACTACGAAGTCAGCGGCGTTGATGCCACTAGGTTCCGTGAAATTCGGTCTCGGAATAACCCAGGGCAGTCCCCGGTTCTCGATTGAGCCCACATGCTGGGGTCGGGTAACCGACGGAAACTGATGGTGACCGAGTGGGCGGCTATAGCACGTCCAAGATTTTCGGAGGCGAACTGCACCTTTAACTGTGGATTTACAGGGTTTGATTCGAGCGACAATTTTGGAGTATGTACTTGGGGACTTACTGGTTTTACGGCATGGAGCGCCGACAATTTCGGAGGAGTTGCGGCGTTTGGTTAAACGCGCGCGTCAAACGGAGGGGGGCAGCAACGCGAGATTTACACGGACTTTTTCAGGGGTACAAAGGACTTACGACGAACTGAAGAAGGCGGCAGCAACTGTGAAGGGGGGGAGCGACATCTGTGAAATTTCATCCCTGCCTAAGAATCATCGACGCATTACGACAAAACTCTCGGAGAAACCATTTCCAACTTTGCTACCGACAACTCGCCTTAGACCCGCCCACGACAACTGCATTAATTCTCAACCACGTCAGGAGCTGCCAGCTGCAACTGCTGAAGATATCGGCTGATTCGGGCGACGTGAAGACAAAACGGTTCAGTTCGAGTATTCGATAATTTTAGTTTTAGTTTCTGGTCTACATCTTCAGGTTTGCCCTTGAAGAAATTTTGGGCACGTAACACCTGGGATTCGTCATCGAGTTTCCACACCGACGCAAATTTCACCTGGGTCTCTACGCTCACCAGTCTTCTCAGTGGGACTTAACACCCGGTTTTGTTGGTTTTCATCTCGGCGCAGCTGCGAACCTTTTCTGTGAAGCATTTCTTGAAGGGGGGGTGGGGGAGAGAAAGTGCTTTGCACTATTTCTTTCCTCGGCGTTTTCTTGGCACAATTTCTGACTTTGTCAGAATGCAGCAGCACGACGGACGACTGCGATCGCTGCTTCACGATCAACGGTTTCTGCAACATCGCGATTGAATTTCGCGTCAGCAGGTTCCCTCCAATCTCGCATCAGTCTTCGACAGTCAGATCCACATCTGCTTCATCGACGGCCCACATTCCAACTTCAACTTCATTTTGGGCTAGTTCATCGTCGACCGTCAGATCGAAATCAGACTACATCGATGGCCTACAATCCAACATTTTCAAAAATATATTCAAAGGCTTTTCGGCCGTCGGATTCAGATGAAAGAGAGATCTACGCCATCCTTGCTAATGTGGGGTCCGTTTTCAGTACAGGACTGCCTAATTTAGAAGGTGGGAGAGTGTAAGGATTTACAAATCCTTATTGGGGCACTCGTTAGCGAGGCCATCCCGAGGGTCACGCGACGAACCTGTCCTTCCTATTTCGTCGCACTGAACCACTCCCGAGTTGCCTCCGCACCAATCGCAACCATCACCGAGTCATCCTCGCCCAAGCTCTCCGCATAGCTAGGACTTCCCCTATTTAGTCGTGCCTTTCTCATTGTATTATCATTCGATACTCCGTCATTCTCGTTATTCGTTTTACTGCGCACTCTGCAAGTTCATTCATAACGAGTCGACTATCCCGAAATTTTCCCTTTTTCCCTTCTCATATTTTCCTTAGTATTTTCACATCAAGCACATGGACCAACAAAGTTCGACTATCGAAGGTCGATTTTGTACAGTAAATCCCGAGTCGCGCCTACGTTTCGTAGTTTACTTGGTCTATAAAAAGAAGTTCGTGACCAAATCCAACTTCGGTAACTCGTTACGAGGCACTTCGTGTATGTCGCAAGTTTCGCTACTACTTCATGCGTGAGCAGAGGAACACACGATTGGAAAAACGTGGACCCCAGTTCAGTGTCCTCCTATTTTCTCAAACATTGTACATGGACACACGAACGTCGCAAACATTGTTAAACGAAATCAACGAAAACGGTTGCCAGCGAAAAGTCGCCTTTTTTTCCGAAAGTCTACACCAAAAGACACACACCCTTAGGGCGTGTCATGCAAATTTATTTGGGGTTTTAACTGGCTTTTAATCGTAAAGTTGCTCGTTAGAAAAACTGGATTGCCGCAAATATATACAAGGGTTTGTGTCCACTTGGCGCGAACCGATATTTTACCACGCGAACACCTAGTTTGCTTGCTACAAAATACGAGCAGGACACAATCTTGCCCACAATTGGCGAGCGGTAGCCCTACCACTAAGCGAAACAGGGATAATTCGAGAGGTGTCGCCTACGGAAGCTCATAGTGCGATTGCTATTTTTGCGAGAATGCATCTTACGAATTTCGGAACTCAGGTGACGTTGATCCATGACACGAAATCCGTCTGTGGCGTTTGAACTCGTGTGCAACGCCTCCGCCATTCGAACCCTGACACGTCCCGAATATGTCAGGCACAATTGAAGTGCAAATAGTTGCCTGAAGATGAATGTAGAACTAAAGTTGCATGACACGCCTTTAGTTGTCACAATAGAACGAGCCTAAGGATATCCCACACCTCGCACGATTTGGGCATCTGAGGTTTCGGGATAATACGTAGCTGTACCTTTAGGCAGTCAGAGGATCCAACTTAGGGACAGCGCGAGTGGATTTGTTCAAGTCTGTCTCGCACGAGCTCTTATTGTCCCGTTAATATCATCGCTTTTCCCGCGCCTGTCTCGGGGCCGACACGGTGCTTGGGCGTGCGCAGGCCTGTGCCAATCCTAGTTTAGCAATCCCTGCCTTTCGGTCAGCTGTTTAGGAATGAAGAGAGGACTCACCATGGGCATCACCCGCAGCCGCACGCATGGGTGCAATCATCGGAGGTCAGGTTTGCCACCTCGATCCACCTAGATCCACGATAGAATCTTCCCGCCCTCCGCCGCCCAGAGAATGTTCAGCACCGGCGTTCGTTTCGCGTCGCTATCCAAGGCGCATTCCACCCATTCCCGCCATCATGCACGCCGTCAGTCCCTCCTGCCCTGTGAGCCGTTGCGAGTGCTTAGTTCCTCGTTATCAAATTGACCAGAGACGAGGTTAATAGTCGAGTTTTGAGTTTTACAAGGGCTCAGTTCTTCATTCTCAAGTTAACAAGGAACCAAGTGCGCTAATAGTCTACCAGAGCAGTCGTTCCACAACGCCAGCCATGTCTCGCGAGACTCCTCCGTCGCTCGCAATGCTGCTGCTCGCTATCATCCTCTCAGCGACTATCGTCGCTGTCGCCAATGCCGCCGCCGTTGCCACCCCTCCCGCGCCTGCCGCTTCCAACTACTACTCCTTTGACCCGGCCGCCAACAGCCTCACGTTCGGCACGGAATACACCATCTTCTGGAACGCCATGTCAATCACCGCAGCAGTCGACCACACCGGCGCGCCTCTCAAAGGCTCCACCAACGCTGACGGATCCGTCAATAAAGCACACTGCCTACCCCAACGGCAGGCTCACGGGGCCGGCCAACGTTGTCGTTACCAATGGCACCGGCGCTAGGTCTCGCATGGGAAAGACGGCGTTTCTAGCCAACGGAACGATCATGGGCGCGTCGGGAAAGCCGATTATTCCAACTCTTAATGCCGACGGGCCTTACGTTGCAGGGGACCTGAAAGGGTGGCCTAACGGCACCATCGTTGGCAGCACGGGTGCAACGATCTATCTTGCCGCACTGCTTTCCCTCAGCCCTAATGGCACCGTTGGTTACACTCCTCCTCCCCTTCCGCCTCCCACTATCAAAAATGGTGCCTCCAACTACTACGCCTTCAACCCCGCCACCAATAGCCTGACGATCGGCCCGACGCTGTCGACTCCTCTAGCGCACCTCTCAAAACCACCAGAAACGCCGACGGATCCGAAACTGCTGCTGGCATGTACACCGCCCATGTCAAAATAAGTGTGCAGGAATGATTGGATTAGCAAGAGTTGGGGTACAAGTACTAACCCTAGAAGCGCTGTACCCCATAAGGAGTGCCCCACTATAGCCTACAAGTAAGATTGTACTTTGTCAGAATCCCAACCACTAGACCATTGGGATAAAAGGGCTTGTTTCAGGTACGGGTCAGTGCGCCAATAACCCCCCAGACAAACGCGCCTGTAACCCCCCCTAGGATCGATCGGGCATCTCACAGTGTAGCTCTACTAACACCCCCCCACACTGGGAGGCCCAGGACTGATCACAGTGGCAACGGCCAACATGTGCATACACCGGGATTCGAACCCGAGACCGCTCTGATACCATGTCAGAATCCCAACCACTAGACCATTGGGATAAAAGGGCTTGTTTTAGTAGCGGGTCAGTGCGCCCATAACCCCCCAGGCAAATGCACCTATAACCCCCCCTAGGATCGATCGGGGATCTCACAGTGTAGCTCTACTAACATACTTTGCACACCCCCATGGGCTATGTGGGGACAACAAGACGGTCACAAGACCGGTCAAGCAAGACAACAGAGCAAATCGAAGCAAAGCTTAGGGTGGATCTCAACCACACAATTGGAGCACAAGCAAGCGGCCACAAGGCCAGTTCACATGCAAAGTTATAATAGCAAGGCAGTCCACTGATCACAACCTAGCAAGAGGAAACATGTAGGTAAAAATATAGATGTCAGTGTACAACAAGTGCAAGATCAGGAGACAAGCAGGTGAGGTAGAATAGGTAGAAGCCTTAGAGCAGTGCAAAAACGCTGAACATCACCAGACCCAAGGGCCTTGGTGAAGACATCAGTAGTGTTGGCCCGAGAGGTCACGTAAGAAAGACAAAGCTGACCACGCTGCTGCAGTTCTCGAGCAAGAAAGAAGCGAAGAGCAATGTGCTTCGTTTTGTGCTCCAGTCTCTGCTCGCGACACAAGGTAAGCATTGCCTTGTTGTTGACGTACTGAACGAGGCCGCTCCCCCAAGTCGGTCAGCAGGTGTGAAGTTTAGAACGAGAGGATGATTGAACTATGAAACATTTGGGTACAAGTGCTAACCCTAATTGGGTTGTACCCCTTATGGGCTACCCCACTACAGCCTACACAGATGTATAAGCTATAATGTTCTAACACACCCCCATAGGCCAAGTGGGGGAGAACAAGGGGTCACAAGACCAAACAAGCAAAGCAAAGCAAGCTCAGGGTGGATCACAAAGTCACCACACAGTCCGAGCACAAGAGCAAGGCCAGTTCACATGCAAGATCATATATATAAAGGTAAACAAGCAAGTGCAGGTATAGAAAGAGTACAGTACAAACAAGATCAAGAAGTGAGCAAGTGAGGCCAGGTAGGCACAAGACCTAGCAAAGTACAGAAGCGCTGATGATCACAAGGCGGAAGGACCTTGGTGAAGATATCAGCAGTGTTGGCCTCAGAGGCCACGTAGGTGAGGCGGAGCTGACCACGCTGCTGCAGCTCACGAGCCAGGAAGTAATGGAGAGCAATGTGCTTCGTTCTGTGCTCCAGTCTATGCTCCCGACTCAAGGCCAGCATGGCCTTGTTGTCTACGTACAGAACTGGAGGAGAACGAGGCGGCTCTCCTAGGTAAGTCAGCAGGTAGGTGAGCCAGTGTAGCTCCTGTGCAGCCATGGCCCCTGCGTAGATCTCAGCCTCACAGATGGAGCTGAGAACAGAAGACGAGTGGGTAGACCGCCACGAAACAGAGCCGTAGCCAAGACTGAAGGTGTAACCCTGTGACGACCGCTGCAGAGCCTGGTCGTCAGCCCAAGAAGCGTCAGCGTGACCTGTGAGGACCACTCGACGTCGCCCTCCAAGCACTAGCCCCATGCCCGACGTACTGCACACGTAGCGCAACACCCTCTTCGCTGCAGCCATGTGCTCTGGTCGGTGTCTCCCAGGAGCAACATAGCGTGCCAAGATGCTAAGAGGGTATGCAAGGTGAGGTCATGTGCAGGTCATCAGGTACATGAGGCAGCCAACAAGCTCTGGGTACGGGCCACTCGGCTCTACGGACTCATCCGAAGGCAGAGTTGAGAGCGAGTGGCGAGTAGAGAGAGGAGTGGCCTGAGGCGAGGAGTACGTGAAGCCGAAGCGCTGAAGGACCTGCTGCACCATGTGTGACTGAGTTAGGGTAATGGTGCGCTGTGCTGGCACCGCAAGGCGGGGGAGGTCTCTGGCAAGGAGACCCGGGGCTGAAGGTTGAGCTGATGCGCGGCGTACTGAACCGCAAACGGCCACAAAAAATGGGGGGCAGCCGCATGCATCATGGACGTACGAGCGACGTCCATGACCATGCCAATGCGGCGCTCAGCAATCCCATTTTGGTGTGGAGAGGCCGGAAGCGTGAAGGTCTGGCGGATGCCCTGTGCCTGACAGAACGCTCCCAGACGGGCAGAGGAAAACTCCCCGCCTCTATCCGAGTGCAGACGCAGAACAGGAAAGTCCGAGCCGAAACTTTCTCTGAGCTGCGCGGATCCAGTCGATCAACACCTCAGTGACGTCATCCTTGCTGCGCAAGGGGAAGACTGTGGTGTAACGCGAGTAGTCGTCAGCCACCAACAGGAAGTAACGCTCGTGCCCCTGTCCACGGACGCGGGCGGGGCCCCACACGTCCATGTGGAGGGTCTGTAGCGGAGCCTCTGTCGGAGGAAACTCGGAGGAGTGAGGGGCGGCGCGCTGTCGCCCCTCGACGCAGGGGACGCAGGTAGGGCCAGGCCCCGGAGGTAGGGGAGGGAGAGACCGAGGGAGACCAGAGACAAGGACACGGGAGGCCATGCCTTGGAGACAAGGCAGGGAGGGGTGACCAAGGCGGTGGTGCCAGAGGAGAGTCTGGTGGGACAGGAGACGACACGAGCAGGGAGCAGACTCAGGACCAGACCTGGACGCTGCAGCAAACACCTGACTCGACGCAGCTACCTGGCCAGACTCAGCAGCCGGAGGAGACTCAGTAGTAAGGGTGTACAGGCTCGACCATGGCCGTTGGGTGAACGTGGCCAAGTGTCGGCTTGTTCGAGCACACGTGCAGTGGGTCACTCGCTGACTCGCAGGAGTGAACTGGTCAACCCCCCTATCCTGTAGATCAGCTCCACTCACCAAGTTGGTAGAGAACGAGGGGAGGTAGAGACCTGATAGGGTGCCAGAGGGGGCTGCCGGGCACGGTAAGATAGTAGAGAAGCTAGCAAGGACAGGACCCCCAGAGGGGTCTGCCAGGGAGACTGCAACCGGCCGACTGAGCGGCGTAAGAGTGGTGCGGTCTCGAAAGAAGGAGCGGGACGCACCCGAGTCAAGGGTGAAGGTGTGGAAGGCCTGTGCCGACGTAGTACCTGAGAGAGCGGACTCACCAGCACTTGGGGCAGCAGACGCACTGGCACCTGGGGTCGCAGACGCACTGGCACCTGGGGCAGCAAACGCACTAGCACCTAGAGCAGCAGCCTCACCAGCACCTAGAGCAGTGGCCTCAATGCCCGGGTCAGGCGGTACACACAGGTAACAGTCACCTTCAACACTAGTAGTCACAGAATACATGGCAGCAAGGATAGCATCATAGTCAAGATCAAAGATGGTAGCCCCCGCCCTAGACAGATCTCCCCAGCGAGGGATCTCTGACGCCTCAGGGAACTGGCGACGCCACGCGTCCGTCAGGCGATCGAAGCAGCGCTGGGTGGAGTGCGGGCCCCCGCACTGCTCACCAGCTCGGTCGCCGGTACGGAGAACGTAAGTGCAGGGACCAAAACCCCCACCGCGCTGACGCGCAGTGTACCACTCATGAAGCTGCTGAGGGGACAGGGTCACACCACTCCGCTGCTGCTGGCGCAGACCACCACCTGAGCCACTCCTTTGCGCAGTGTCGCGACCTGCTCCACCACCGCCGCCGCCGCCGCCTACGCCGCCTCCTCCACCTCCGCCTCCTCCGCCACCTCCTCCGCCTCCGCTCCCTGCGCCAACACTGCCGCCTCTGCCGCCTCCACTGCTGCCGCCGCCGCCGCCACCCCTGGCACCACTTCCACCACCACCCCCACTCCCTCCACTGCCTCCACCACCACCTCCACCGCCCCCGCCAGCTCCTCCAGCGCCCTTGCCCCCCTTGCCCTTGCCGGTGCGGCGTCTCCCGCTCGGGGCAGACGCAGCGCCGACCGACTCGAAACCAACGAGGCTGGCGGCAGCAGGAGAGGCAACAGAGGGCAAGAGGGGGGAGGGAGAACACCCCTCAAAGACAGGGGTGCGAGGGTCACCACAAGAGGCTCCTACAGCGACTATACTTTTCTCTGCTGCTAGGAGGGCCTTCTCGAGGAGGTCAACGGTGAGAGTGGTGGGGCAAACTGAGAGGAAGTGGTCCCTGACTACGCGGAGAGAGTCAGGGAGCCGGGTGACTATGTATTAGAGGGTGATGTACATGGGGGGGGGGGGTTCTTGGCGCAGAACTCACCAGGGAGCGCAGCGCGGTAGCGAGTGTCACTAGTGCGGAGGTGCGTAATGAGGTCAGCGACTGTGGGAAAGGCAGCAAGGTCAAGGAAGAGGTACGGTAGCATGAGGCGGCTCAGTGCAGCAATGGCAGGGGAAGAGTAGCGTGCAACTACAGCATCATACAAGGTCTGAGCACTCTTGTACTGGCTAAAGTGTGCACGCTCAGTGGTCGGTAAGTGGCGGCGCACAGCAAGGCTAGCAGCAGCATCGCGCGTGGCCTACTGTAAGCGAACAGTGGCGTTAGCATCAGCAGCAGGGGCAGGAGAGGCACCAGAAGTGAGGTCAAACAGGGAGAGACCGTCTGCCCTATCGCACTGTAGGAAAAGCTGCAGATCATCTACCCAAACCTCAAAGTCAACTGCCCGACCCTCATCGTCAAAGGTGAGAACACTAGGGGTGGCCATGACAGCAGTAGACAGGCAGTGAGTACAGTGGGGCAGGGCAGTGCAGTGGCAGCGGCGCTACTCTTACCAGGTAAGTGAGGCGGACCCGGGCAG